TTTAAAAATCCTTAACAGGTTAATAAACTGTTTAAATAACCATTTATTTTTTAAAAAAAGTATGCGGCCGGCTTAACATTAGAAATAACTTTATTGCAATCGTTAACATGTTTGAACCAGTCATCTACATCTTAAAATGGACGTTGGACCTTTGGAATTGATAGTTGAATTATCTTTACAAATTTGGAAGAATTTAAGATTTGGCTTTGATCAATTTGACCTTTTATGAACAAAATTCCCCAAACACATAAAATAATGTAAAATAAAATTGAGATGATTTCGCATAGAAGCATGATCGGAATGATAATGCCGTTAACCACTAATCAATGAAATCTTGAACCCAAATAAAAGAATCAAGTTTTCAAATGTTGAAAAAAAAATTCTCACGATAAAATACATCATCATGCTTTATTTATTTATTTATTTTTTTTTTTTTCTGTCTCATATCAAAATTTGTCTTTATATTTTATCCGCAAGCAATCTCATGAATTTATCGTTCATGAAAACTTCTTTGCCTATTTTGGGATCATTTACAAAAATCGGTAAATACATTATTCCGTACGACATGTACAAAATTTTTTTTTTTTTTATGTAAATAGATTGTAAATTACTTTGTGCACTGTATATAAAAGAAATTGAAATTAGAATTGAAGGAATTTTATTTGTCACTTGACACGCAAAACAATTCTTATATAAAGACGCGAAAAATTCCTTGACCCATATCGTAAAAATATCACCTCTAAATAATATACATTTTGAATTCCTTTTCCCTTCTACATAACACATTGAACTCTTTTATTATCTTTTTTAAAAAAAATTAAAAAATTAAAAATGTCTGACGGCCTTTTAGAATACATACTCGTAGACTTCAACCGAAAGCTTTCCACAGCTTACGGTATCAAAGCAATTGAGGACATTGAACCTACGATGCTCAAATGGATAGAGTTTCTTGAAACGTTCAAAAACATAAATTTCAGCGAAGTTATTCAGCTTATGGAAAACCACCCGAATTCTCAACAGAGGTTTAGCAGTTTGATCGGCATTTTCTATCAACTTGTGATTAAAAATAAAGAAAAGGCCCTTTTTTTTTATAATTCTACCACCAATCTCGAACCAAAAGACCACGTTGAAACCTGTAATACCCAAAATAATCAAATGTTATTAACCATCTACTACGAAAATAAAATAATTAACAAATGGAATGTTCTAGATAATTATGGTGTAAGTGTAGATGATGCCTTCGATTTCAAGTCGGAAGATGGTGATCCATTTGCACTATACAATTTAGCCGACTGTTACTTTTACGGAAAAGGAACGAAGGTAAATGTAGATAAAGCGTTCCAAATATATTTAAAATCTGCCGAAAGAGGTATAGGAACGAAAAAAAATGAAATAAGAGCATTTGATGGGTATAGGGTTTCTGCGGAAAGAGGTAATAAAGATGCGCAATGGATGTTAGGAAATTGTTACGAAGACGGTACGGGAACTGATGTAAACAAAGAAGAAGCGATGGAGTGGTATTTAAATTTTGCAAATAATGGAAATGCAGATGCGCAATTTTGAGTAGGAAAATTTTTTACATCAAACAATAATGACCAAAAAGCATTTGGATGGAAGGAAACCGTGGTGCACAATGTTATTTGGGACATTGCTATCAGTATGGTATAGGAGTAGATATAAATGAAGTATCGTTCGGCTGGTACTTAAGATCCGCTGAAGGAGGATATGCGGAAGCATTTTCTCATGTAGGAGATTGCTATTTATGTGGTCAAGGTGTAGATATAGACGTGGTCAAAGCGTGGGAGTGGACGCAAGGACCGCTCAAGGAGGAATGTTGGGTACAACTTTAATTTAGAGTAGTTTAATTTTTCAATTAATTGGGAGGCAGTCAATAGAAAAGGGGGAAATCTACAAATTTTGAGTAATTTTAGTTATTAAGCTAGTTTTGTTCACATGACCATAGATTTCCCCCTTTTCTATTGACCGCCTCCCAATTATTGTTTTCTTATGAATAACTTATATATATATATATAATAAAAAATCAATCATTATATTAAAATGATAGTTTATAAAAATGCATACTCATTAAAGATAGTGCTAACGTCTTTGTAATTTTTCAGGACAATTTCTAGTACTTGGTAACATCAAGTTCAGGATGACTCGCGAGATCTAGCGCTATAAACTAAATTTAACATATTTTTGCTTGTTTAACATAAACAATATAACTTATTATAGGTTTAATTTTTCAAAACTTTATATTGATACATAATAAAATATGATTCGAACTAATAATATTATTACGCGTAAATATTAATCATAAGAATATGGAAAAAAAATAATATAAAGTCTTTATTCTGTTAACGATAATTTTCGGAAATAAGAGAAACTGTAATCCTGGATCAAAAACAACCTTTGTTCTAAACGTTTGCCATATATGGCGAAATAATTATTCCGCATGGTACAGGTGCATCTTTGTCAGATGAATTAAAAACTTTTTTTTTTTTTTTTGATGTCAGGTTCTGGAAATTTGTTAACAAAATTGGGTATTTTAATTTTTTGATAAATTTTAATTTTCAGACACGATTTTCCTGACAATTATCCTGTCATATGTGACAAAGAAATTTCCCTGCACAGATATGTTTTTTGTTTTGATTATATAAATTTGTATTCTTGACTTACCTTGACTTACCGAATCTTTCAAAAACAATTTCACGCTAACTTTAATTATAAATGTTTGTCACATTTATTACTGAATACTTATTTTATAATGAACGATATACCTAATTACATAATTGTGATCATTTGGCATTTGTGTGAACTAATTGAAAGTATTATCATTAAGGAATACGAAACCGTTAGTAATGAAAGAAAAGCATTATCGTATAAACGTTCAAGCGGATCCATGAATATTATATCTCATTACTTAATAATTACATTGCATAATTACGGTTATGTTATAATATATAAGTTATTATTATCATTATA